ATTAATTTTAGTATTAAACTGTCGAAATTATTGAGAATGAATTGTTTTCTATACTATTAAAAAGGGGAAAGAATAAATTGTTTATTTGCATTGAATAGGGTCACAAACTACTGGACCTATTTTAAATAATTTTTCACCCACAGTAAGCTACATCATACGCGGGAGACATGGCTATAATGGCTAAAGCGGCTTTGACAGCGGATAAAGTGCTGTACGTCGAGGTCTTTTTAAAGTACTATGCAGATTTTAATGCGGTTTTCAGGAATATATAGGAATACGCGGGCGAAGCGCTGAAGAAAGGATAGTATATCGAAAATTTGATTGTAGCATTTTTGGTGAAATATTTTTTGGATGTGATATAAGAATAGGTACTCACATCATATTTTTAAATAACTAATGATGTTATGGTGTGTAGTGTATTAACTTGTTGCGATATAAAGATCTGTTCGAGACAATATAGAAAGCTTCGTTGTTTCAGATATTCTATAATACGAGTGCTTTAGCTTCTTGGAGTCTGTACAATATATGTTATCTAATATTTATTAGCAGCTTATGTATTCATTATTGTATATCTGTGCGAACCTAAATTCTTTCCGTGTTCACAACGTGCCACCACATATTAATTTGTGTGAAGTACATATTACCGAGAATGATATAGCGAAAACAAATAAACATATCGATCTTCATAAGGGACTGGATCCAGATGATATACCTCCCATTTTTATTAAACAGTGTAAATATTCTATAACTTTACCACTCACTTTGATATTAGGCGTTATTGTTACACGATAGTAAAATTAGCAGCCGGTTTACTAGGATTTATCAAAAGAACAACAAAAGGCTTCCGATCTATTAACTATCTATGGTTACAGCCTGGAAATTGCAAGTGTGACTTTGAATCCCTTTTATGCAATTCAATCTCAACGTATTGAATCTATTCAACGCTTACTCATTAGATATCATTCATTTGTGTCATCCGGTATATAGCACAGAACTTCTTATGATCAAAAATTATTGTTCTTAAACATTCGGTCTGTCCAACGACAGCGAACTATCTTTGATCTAAATTACTGCATAGGCTATTCAATGGATCACTAAATTGTAACCATCTCGTGGAAAGTGTCTTTGCCAGCCAGCCTTTACATGGAATTTTTGCGCTATCTACAAGCAGGGCGAACGTTGGTCGGAATGGTCCACTTTTCCGTTGCTGTGGGAAGTATAACTATCTAAATGGGAATAATATCAATACCATTCAGATATTTTCCACGATTCGTTACCTAAATTTAAGAGCAATATTCTCCAGTCATTGAGTTATCAATGTGCAGAATAAAATGTACAAATATGAAAAACTTATTGTAATTTTACATTCTTCATTATTAAATATATTAACACCGGTATAGTGTACGCCGGTAATAGGTATATATAAGAATATTTAAATTTAACAAATACTATTTTTTAATGTATCCTATATACCTATGCTGTTGATGTACGTTTCCAAATAAATAAATCGCTTTATGTCAAGCGTCCGTCGTCGTAGCTGTGCCAGCCACTGTGTTATAAGGTACTTGACAGGCATTGAGTATTGTGACACGCGCCCGGTTGCACTGCAGAGAACTACTCGCGTCACGGAAGGTCGATGGAGAAAACCGCGATCCTATCTCGCACAAGGTCTTTTTGCTTAGAGACAACTGTATGATGAATGCGTGGTTGGACGCTCAACACAAAAGTTTTGGAACTATCAAAAGAACATTTTGCTTATGTTACAATAGGCTAGTTGACTATTTTAATTTTATAAATAAATAGTCCATTGATATCTGATAATTAATATAAAAGTAACAGAATGTCTGCAATTAATAGTTACTCAGATACGATGTCGTGTTTGTGACCTAGTCGGCCGAAAATGCTCCCTGTATATTTAAGCCAAGAAGTGATGTCATCCTGTGTTACGGTAATAAAAAACGTATGAGCGTCTGGGCAATTTTTGCAATATCTTTGTTATTTGTGCCTTTATGCATCTTTTTCCAAAGTGTAATTAAATTTATTTTGTTCAATATTTATAAGTGAAAACGGTTCCCATTTTCCGAACATAATAGAAATCTGTATTATCACTTGTAGGACTTGAAATTTTTGGTTTTTTTATCCGTTACAAAAAAGTGTTTCTAAAGTTATGGCTTTTGAGTATTTGTTCGTTATATTTAATAAAACATATAGCTTTTTTTATTTTGTAAGTTTTCTGTGAGTAACATTTAGCAGACAAATTCATCACATTGTGTTACATGATCAAACTGAACCAAACACGAAACTGAGACGTGCCTTAAATGGTGACAATGCTATGTAAGGACGGGATGGAACATATGAAATATCATGCTCTTATACAGTCCTCTTGTTACGTAATAACTGAATTCGACTAAGTAAATAAAATAACTGTTTATTCCAAGTAAACTCATACAAAGTTAGTCGGCGTAGAAGTTGTATATTAAACATTGTATTGTGTATTAAATGGTTATACTTTCCGATAACACAAAAATAATTTAGACAACAAACACCAGTTAATATGTGTTAACTAGATAAGAAGTTAAAGAAAGCATTGATAAGAGCCTGTTAGCCTTGTTGCATGTTAAAGTTTCATATAAATAGGTATTTTATTTAATTAAAACAATTTCATTGAAATTATACAGCCATATTAAATACTCTTGGTTGTAGTAGGTTAGGAGTCCATTTACTTTTGCATGTCTCTGTCTCGTGGCTCTGTTTATCTAGAAAATTCTCGATAATACGTACATTTAAAGTATGAAGTTGAATTGCTAGCCGGTTCTATACGGCGTCTATCTATACTGCGCTTATTGGGTGCACTTTTATTTGGCGTGTAAAAGTTATTACGCACATCTCATCGCAGCGGACAATAGGTGACATTGGACGGGACTCTTATCGGCCAGTTGTACAAATGCCCATTTAACTTTTCGTTAGTTTAAAGCGACATTACCCATGGACGTTATTCATATGTAATGTATGCATAATTACTGCCTATAATGTAAATAAAAATTATAACTGCGAGAATTTTAACAGAAATATTTTTATTTTCAATCGATATGAAGCTGACCGGCGTATTGCAAATAAAACAACCTTATAAGTAATATATGCTCCATTTATACTAACAAAACTGATGATAAGAAAGGCTGTCTGGATTCCTGCACAATACTTTTAATAGTGAAATGGTGATTGTGTCAATGTCTATTGAGAAATTGGGGACAAGTAAACTCGATCCACTAGTAGATGGTTCTATAAGTTCTTATTTACATATCGAAAATTAATCTTGAACGCCTTGGGCCATTTAATAAATCACCGAGTATCGTGTTGAGAGTAAAAACTTAATATTAAATGGAGATCTGGCAGTTAACTAAACTATGGATTGTTACGTCAAATTGACAGTTTATATGAAACAGTCAAAATATAAAAAAAAATATTTCGCCTATTTATTGTTTAATATTTACGAAAAACTTTTAATAAATAGAATATATTTTTATTATGTTACGTTTAAAAATGTAATTTTTTTATTCCCTTTTGTCTCTAAAGTTGGTGCTTTGAGATGAGGGGCTAATATACATTTGAAATAACTGTCCATACTGCGAGCGTAAAATGTTTTTTCTTATCTTTTAACTGTAACCGAGGATAATAAATATCTTAGTGGTGTAAACAACAGAATAACATTGATTTATAGTCAAAATGTCTTACACGAAGAAAATACAAATTCAATGATGGAAAATGACCCTAGTAAAAAAGAGTCGAAAGGTAAAAGGATACTGAAGAAAGCAATACGTCGGAACAGCAAAGCATCGAATAACAGCCAGAGTTCTGCCATGGACCAAACAGTTGGTGTGTCTCGATCGAAGAGTTTCGAAAACAAGCATTTGTCCATCGAAGTGAATGACAGCACGCCGCTGCCTACTCCTGATGGAGCCAAGGACAAAGTTGACCATAATGAGTCCGGACAGAGACAAAGAACAGACGAGAAGCTGTTTCCGAACCCTACTGGTCAGGTGAAATTGAAAAAGGCCGTCGAAATCCACGAAAATAGAAATGAATTCTTCGGAGAAACACCCAGCGTCTCCAAAGGGAGTACTAAATCTAGAAATTCCCCGAGGCTTGATAAAAAAACCGAACGGAACGGAACTGAACCGGAAACTATGAAAAAGAATCTTAAGAGGGTCGGTTGTGATTTCATATTTTTACACTTGTATAATTTGCTGTTTTCCAAAAGAATGGAGAAAGCTATTCTGTCAAAATTCCATATTCAAATCGCCATTGGCACGTTAAAATGAATATTTTCAATGGTGACTAACACATAATCCGAGTGTTTGGTTGAATACGAGTATATAACTACATATTACATATTTAAGTATACGTACATCAACTATAGTATAGGGGTATCTGTTTGCCAGCCTATAGATCTATAGATAGGTGATACGATAGCGGTGCTTTTATGGTGGCCTAATTCCGTCGTGCCAATAAAATAATCGGGTTGATAGGAATTGAATCGTTTCCTATGATGTACGCGTTTCTGTTCTACTCTAGATTCGAAATGAGCTCATTACGTCAGCGTTGTCGACTTTTGTGATATAGAATTCCTTTCTCATTGCTATTAAATTAAAATTTAATTTAAGAATAAATCAGTTTCACAGAAAGAATCATCTAAAAGGCAAGTCGCCTACCCATTGCTATTTTAACAATGTTGTCTGCCTGCTTGCTCTGAAACACAGACGTCAAGTCTGTGGTTCAGAACTTAACCTCAAGCACCGCAGGAGATTCGGTATAATTTGGCATTAAAATCAAATTATTGAACACTGTTTAGTTACTTTTACTCGATTTTCTCAACATAGTACTACGAATTTTTTTATTTGATCATTTTTGCATTCACAATTTATCAGTTCTTTCTAACTCTATTTGTTAAATTCTATAATGTTTATATGTAATAATAATTATTGTTTTGTTTTCCATTTCAGAAATTGGAAGAGGAGAGTGGAGCGGGCACAAGTGGCACGAGTACCGGTACCTCGGATACAGACGCGGACGACAAGGACCCCAGCAAGGACAAAAAGAAAAAGAACAGGTGCGCCGTCTGCCGCAAGAAGGTTGGACTCACAGGTCAGTATACGTCTTATGTAACGTGCAAGTATTACTTTGTGGTCTTAAGTAGCGAGATTTTTTCGTTAACGTAGGGTAATTGCATCTTATGCTCTCCAACGGGGGTGAGGTCGAAGTGGGGTCGGCCAACTTGATAAATGCGGAATACCTTCACAAGATGGGAAACTCTCTGAGATCCAGTAAGATCTCCGGATCCATCTGGTTTGCGCCTCGCTATTGCAGTGACCTCAATAGAAATATGTCGATTAATCTTTATTCAAATTAACCAATGGGTTTAACATCAAAAACATCTTTACATATTTTGCATAAAAGGCAAAGGCGTCGTCTGCCGGCCTCGCATTTCTTGAGGTCGCTTATTTAAATGAAATCTACTTGTTATTGTTAATTTTTGACAATGTTTTTTGGTCATAACTATCATTGTGGATTTAACAATTTATGCTGCCAACATACACCACATAAATTCATATATTTAATCACTTCTCAGGAGTAATGTGAACATAAAAGGTTGTTAATATGAATCAACGCAGAAATGTATTTTTATACGTTTTCTATAAACGTAGTATCTGATTTTGTAACTGAAATTAATCATATCTCAATTAATAACGTGATTAGATAGTGTTTTGTAAGAGTTATAGAGTAACATACAGATATTCAAATACATGCTCGATAAAGTTATAAAAATCTACCGTCAGTTTGTGTGATTTTAAAAGCGATTATAAAATAGCCACGTAGGCGCAAAATTGGTGCTCAGATTATTAATACCGAATTGTATCGGCACAGTTGCAGCGTTTTGTCAATTTCCAACTGCTTGCTATCGTAGGCTATGTCAATATCGCGTGTTCCCGATAAAATGGTGACATGCTTATCATGTTCACAAATAAAATAATGACGTGACCTGTTCTAGATATAATGAACGTTGAGCTTATTAAGGAAAATTGACTATTTTAAAAATTATTCTATGAATGATTCTTTATTTTGTTGAATTGGTATTTTTAATAATATTTTTGTTGTTCGTTTTAAGACTATAAATGAAGTGTAATCACTGTTTCTGTGTTAGAGTTTTGACAAGTGAATTTTGAGAGATATTACGTAAGTACAGTGAATGTGACATTGCGTGTTAGTGATATTAGTAGCGGTCAGTTGCCAATTGAGAGTGGTTTTGCTGATATATTTTTTTGAATGCGGAATGTTTTTATGATCTTATGTTTAATACATAAGTCAGGGCAGCGATAACTATAATAACTATCACTTTGGATTTAAGATTAACACAGATTGTAAACGTTTGTGACTTCATTATTCATAAACAGTTCATAAAATATTAAACATCGCCATTTCTCTATACTATTTTATGTCATTTAAAAACTGCTAAATGTTAATAGGGGTGTAGACAATTTTTTATACATGAAATATATCTAAAAATATATATAAATAAGTATGTTAAAATCTATATATTGTAATCTATCTAATAAATTTAATTTCCAAAATTTCCCGCAAAAACGCTATGACCTCTCGGCTCTCTGAAACTAATTTCGTTCAGTGTATGCAAAAGGTTGAATTCTCTTAAGTTCTGATATGTGAAAGAGGGACGTGACTTCGCGTACTGTTTGCAGTCACGTTACAACTACTATAAAATATTTGTTTTTTTATAATTGATTTAAGCATAATTATAAATATAAAAAACAACATGTATTTATTTTCGTTTACTGTCTACACTTGTATTAGGATTACATTATGCCCATGTTGGGACCCTTGACTTTATAATAATTTTGTACTTGCCGTGCAAAATATGTCGTGTATTTGTGTGTGATTGTTAATCGGAGGGTGGGTAGTATTGATACGAGGGTCAAACTGAAAGTTCTTAGAACTGGCCACTTATAAACAATATAATAAAAAAATAATTCTAAAATTTGAAAATATAACTCTTTGCCAATATTACTGAGTATATATTTCATTCATTTGTCATTTGTTTTACGATTTGGCGGCAAATTGAAAATTGTCTGTGTCACGTCATCATGAATTTAACACGAGAAAATTTTCGTGCAATGATTTTTTATGACTTTCGATGTCATTTAAGTCAACAAGAAAGTTATGATAGACTACGATTGGCCTTTCACGATGAAGCCCCATCTCGTGCGACTGTTTACAACTGGTTTAATGAGTTTAAACGTGGTCGCACTAATCTCACTGATGATTTACGTGAGGGACGGCCTTCTACCGCGACGACTGAAGATAACATCTGTGTTGTGCGGCGTATGATAGAGACTGACAAAAGAGTGACCTATCAACAGATTCGGACAAGCTTAGGCATCGGTATGAGTCAAGTGCACAAAATCCTCCACGAACATTTAGCGGTCAGGAAGCTTTGCGCCCGGTGGATACCTCATAATTTGACTGAGGCTCAAAAACTCCATCGTGTGGATTGGTGTCGTAAAATGATTGAAAGATTTAACGGAGGTGACTCAAATGCTGTGTTCGACATACTAACAGGTGACGAAAGCTGGATTTACTGTTATGATCCTAAAACCAAAAGACAATCTGCTCAGTGGGTGTTTCCTTTCGAGGAGTTGCCAACTAAAGTGAAGAGAGATCGAAGTGCGGGAAAAAAAATGTTGGCCTCGTTCTTTGGAAGGATAGGTCATTTTGCAACAATTGTGTTAGAGGATCAAAAAACAGTTTCTGCAGAATGGTACACTACCAATTGTTTGCCACTTGTCTTGGAAAAAGTTCGAGAGAAACGACCTCGCAGTAGGATCCTCCTTCACCACGACAACGCCTCGTCGCACACCGCCAAGCGAACGATCGACTATTTGGCGACATCAAACGTTGAATTACTGGGTCACCCGCCGTATAGCCCCGACCTCGCGCCTTGTGATTTTTATTTATTTCCAAAAATTAAAGAAAAACTTAAAGGAAAGCGGTTTATGAATGCTGAAGAAGCGGTGGCTGCGTATCGCGATGCCATTGAAGAGACCCCTAAGGACGAGTGGGCAAAGTGCTTTTCCCAGTGGTTCCATCGCATGCAGCGGTGTATTGACGTGAATGGACAATATTTTGAAAAGATATAATAAAACTAATAACTGGCTAATGTAATCAGTTTTTGATTTTCTAAGAACTTTCAGTTTGACCCTCGTATGAGCGTTATATTAATGGGCGATGTGTGTTTCCGTGTGCGTAGGGTTCGAGTGCCGATGCGGGGGTCTATTCTGCGCCGTGCACCGGTACAGCGACAAGCACGAGTGCTCGTTCGACTACCGGGAGTTGGGCGCGCAGGAGATCCGCCGCAACAATCCTGTCGTCGTCTCCCAGAAGATACACAAGATATGAGCTCAGCCCTCGCCCCTCACCGCACACCGCATTATACATACCTTTATTATTTACTCTAAATAAATAATCGATCGAGTTTGTGTCTCTCATTTTAAGTTTAGCATCGACTGACGACATAGGTCGCGCGCGCGCTTGCGAATACCTAGAGACTCGCGAACTCGCGAACTCGACCCCCATTGTTGTTATTATAATGAGACTGTAACGTTAATGTTGCATATTAAATTACGGACAACGGATACGCAAACTCGATCTGTGCATATTTAGATTTATTTGTGGCGAGAGTTCACTTTTAAATTTTTATTAAAAGTTGTAGATAAACGTTCGTTTCGGGTAGGAATTTCAGGATTAATTTTCGAGTTTATAAGTAGAGTTTGAATATTGTCCGTTCACCTCCATTGTAAATATTAGATATAATTAATTATAGAAACAAATCCTATATATTTTAAAAAAGTAAAACTCCAAAAAAAGCTGCGTTGTTACGATTGCGACGGAGAGCCTCGCTCGCTTAACCACGATCGTTATATAATGACAACGTATGCTGACGGTCGGACGGCCGTTCGTACGGGCCCGCGACGCCACGCGACAACGATTAGTCCCGCGGGGACTATGAATTGACATCGTCTGCAAATTGTTAGTACTGTAATTTTGGTTTGGGAAGTCGTCGCTTTCTTATTTGTCTAACATTCGGCATAAGTGACCTAGTGTTTAGCGAGATTGTGGTGTGTATCGGCATAAGGCGAGCGTGCGGAGAGACGCGGACGTCTCGTTTGTCCCTCTGACAGTTTGGTCCCATGACCGGGCCGCTTGACGTGTGCATCTCTCGCGCCCCGCTCTTTGTGTGAAAATTTAAAGATAGTTATACATATTATAAGTAGTCGACACTTTATATTATTACACATTATATAAGTAGGAAAGAATTATTTAGCTTTTTCTTTTTAATCACAATATTATTCAAAATTTGTAAGTTGTATTATGTAACTAGTTCATTTTAATGGTCGAGTTGAAACAGTAATACTATGTATTGGTTCGATTGTTGTCGCAGTAAACTAACTTTGATTGGTTGGACTTAATTATTTAATGACTTTTGTTGTATATTTTGTTAGGTCATTGATTAATTTTGGTCTTTTTGCTTGAAAATAATCAGAAACAAAGATGATGTTAATAATGAATGATTTTTCTTCTATCTTGCTGTTTTAATTTAGTTATTCTTCTATTAAAGTCATTAAATTTTCAGGAACATAAAAGTAGTTTTAATTTTTACTAACATTAATTACCATTAACTAACACCACAACGTCTTATTATTTTATTAAAATAAAACAGAATGCAGTTGCAGGTAAGAAATAAAGATTTAAAGGCAGGCTAGGTTTAAATTTTTATTATTTATAGAAACAGTCACGTAACAGTTATTTGTAAAACTAAAAAAATACTCATCACAGCATTCAAACAAAAACATAACTTTATTGCTTCATCATACAACTCTATACAAAATTAATTTGTAACAGGAATTGTTCGATTGCTTAATAAAGTTACTTATATGAATTACAACAATATAATAAAATATAAAGAGAGCGAAATTCATGAAAGATAGATTTAAAGCGAAATATTTATCTATAATAATTTACAAACGAGACGGTAGTATTTAAGAAAGGTATTGTAGAATTTTGAAATTAATCTAACATTGTACTTTGGTTTTAGAACATTAGTTTACTTGTGTAAAAGTTTAGGCTTAACATTTTGCAGCTTAGTCATGTTCTCAATAACTTAATGACTCATGAAAGATGACACAGCTACATGTGGTAGCTGGTAATAAATACCTACACTTTGATATTATATGTGCAAAGATAATAAGAATGCCTGAACCGGTGATAATACGAATACTAGGTATGTACGTTAACGAATACGAACATCAAATTTACTATTTAGATATATATATAATCTATATAAGGTGTAATATTATTATATGTCAGGACTTCGTGGAGTGGATTTGTTAAGTATACAACTTTTACTTTGGCAGCAACACTAAATTAACGGAAAAATAATTGGCTGTTTTCTACTGTCAACGATTGTAGGTATTACAATTTTATATGTAACTACTGATATTTTTTTCTTGAATTCAGTGTTGCTCCCGTTGTTTCTCGTAAAAGTTGTTCAGCATACTTAACTGTTCCACTCCATGAAGCCCTGGAATATGATAATATTGCGCTTTATATATCTATGTAGACCAAGGTTCGCTGATAAGTAAGTTTTGGCTAGAAACCAATCCGATGTGATGTGAAGTTAGCAACATTACCCCAAAGTAGCAATCTACTAGAAATTTTGGATATTCCCCGTAATATAAACGCGAAGTTCGAACGGTTAGTTTCTTTATTTTTTTCCTGAAATTTAATGCTTATGTTCACGCAATATGGTGTATAATAGTGAGTAGGGAATAAGTCGGGTATTCTCCTATACCTGGGAATCTCACACGCATACTTTTAATTATATTTTTTATACTAAATAAACAAATATATAACAAAATTTAAAAGATCAAATATTAATTAAAGCAGCTTTTAAATCGCAGCGTTCCATATACGTGATATACAACCGATATATATCGGATAAAAATCAAATCTAGGATTTCTAGATATTTATAATAAATATTGTATTTTTGCGAATCTTGATGTAGTAACTTTTTGGTGATTACGAATTCAAATTTAACATAGTAATAAAAATATACACGCTATATGTTTTTAATTATAGATTCTACCAGGTAAAATAATGTTGAGATAACCCTCGATAAATGATAATCTATTGTTCAAAACTACTACATAGTTAGTCCAAATTTATATAATTTTATTATAAACTTTGTAAACTGTCGCATGAATCAATTTATAAATTATCGATAGGTGCGTTCGCACATACCAGGTTCTCGGATTTTCATGTTATTATTACTCTGACATGAAATGTCTGTTAGAATATAAAGTTAGTCCGGACCGACAGTTTATTTAATATTAATCTTCAATCATTCGTTAACCTAACAATGCGCCAACCCAAACTGCTTACGTTACCAAGTAACTCTTATGTTACTCGGTAACGCAAGTTTATAACATTTTGAGTCTCGAAGAGTAACTTAAATGTATATTATCCTATTATTGTTTAGTAGATTTACAAAAGATGGAAAAAGTAATATGGCTGTTAACATAAAATAGCAATAAGCGTTTTCTGATCATAATTTACTACAATATACTTTTAACTACCGAGTAGGTAAATATTAAGGTCAAATGATTCCTTTGAACTGCATAACCAAAAAGAATAATCTTTGTACTTCTGCTGGTGATTTAACCCGCCGGGTTATACATTGGCTACTTGGCGGATCCAATCGCGCACAGCTGCCACCTTCGAGAATACCACTATGTTGCCAGCCTTGCATTCGAAGGCGTCGTTCTCTACCCACGAGGCAACGCCCATCAGCTTGTTGTTGGCCACTAAACCGCTCCCGCTGTCACCCTGAAGACAAAGAGGCAGCTAAAATTACTAATGTCAAATGAAAATTCAAGTAAATCCCTAGAAATAATTTAGAATTGCGTGAGCACTCCAAATTGCTCGAGTACACGACATGACATCTGACGAAAGTAGGTAAGCAAAACCTAAAGAGTACTGGACTTCAATAAAGCTGAAATCTAACACCTACCCATTAAATAGATATTAATTTTCCATTAAATATTAAATCGAAATGCATTTTAGACAATATAACTACAAATCTTTCTTATTCATTTATAGATAGTGCGCGTGAAAATGCACTATCGATAAATGAAACAATTTAAACGATTTCATCGCTTTTGTATTTAGTTCTATTAAAGTTTTGGACTTAGTATTGTGAATACGGAACCTGTAAAGAGGTTCCGTATTCACAATACTAAGGTGTTGATTGTGTTTCACAAACCAATACTATTGGACACATTAACAATAAAAATAAAAAATAAAATGGTAACGTTTACATTTATCTCTATTAAAATCTTTCTTTTCAAAGTACATAGCAACATCTTGTTTGAAATCAAGAACTGATTTGCCATTTTAATACTTTCTCAATGTTTTGATTGATTTGAGGATTGTAAATATCAGACAGTATAAGGCTGCCTTATCAGTATGCTTAAATATTGCGTATTTTCTAGACAACCAATAGTGATACAGGAAAAGGGAAAATAATCATGAAGAGGAGTAGGTGCAATTAATGCGGGAATATTTATTAAACAGAATATAGATAGTTAAAAGCTGGAGAGGAAATAGCTTCAAAGCCATTTTCAAAGCCAGCTTGTACAGAAAAGGAACTAGCCTAATACAAATACCAACTTTCAGTATCGAGATATGAGGGTATCATATATTTTCATTTTAATATATGAATGAATCCACCGACATTTTCTGTCAGATTATTAGTAAAAAAATAAAATTCCTTTAATTTCTCAATGGCATGATAAGCAAAATAGATATAAAGTGACTTCTGCGTATTTTCACGCTGTTACTTGTTACTTTCATGAAATACATAAATTTTCTCATATTTTTATAAAAACACGGACAATAAATATTTAAATAATATTTGTAAAAAGTCAATAATATTAGCAATTAAATACGAATTCAATCGATATTACTCTATTGCGTTAAGCATAATATTTTGTTTTGAATCCAATGAAAATTTCCAAGCAATGGGAATATTGCATACCAATAGCCTTATAATTATTTATGAAGCAAAAATATATGCAGCAGACTTTTGAGTTAAACACATATTCTACTAAATATCATTAAAATCCACTCAGAAATACTTTAAATAAAAGTTTTATTATATTAAACTACTACTACTACTACAAAAAAGTAAAAAATAATGTTTAATAAAAATCACTATTTCCTGTAAATTTTTTAGTTGGATTTCAGTAATTTTCATTGCCGCTATGATAAATAAAACCAAAATTTGTGAAAAAGTCTTGTTAATAATTTTGCGTGTAGGAAATTAAAGTTTTTTGACTTGATGTTTTTTACCTCCTTAAATATAGTTATATATAGATTCTTAAATATAGTCTCTTGTAATTGGCTCACAAACTCGATTAAAAATATTCCAGGCTTATATCGAATTATTTCCGTTTCTTCTCGTATTTGTATCAGGCTAAACAAGAAATCAGGTTTTAATGAATGAGTAATGAATGAGAACACTTATTTAAAGAGTCATACGCGTGCAGTAATGGTGCCCGATCGGTACTCCTCGCCTTAAGGCGGACTTCCCTAATCATAATCCGCGCTGCAATACTCAAAGGTAAAGATATTTTTTTTATGGCCTGTTATATGACCATATAAGTCGTACTTACATTGCAGGCGGCGTCAAAATTTGGCTCGTATCCCCTCGCGCACAGCATGTCATCAGAATTATATTGTATTAATTTCTTGCATACTTCATTGGGCTTAATTTTGAGGTCCATAGCGTGCATCTCCGACCTCATGAAGCCCTGAAGGTAAAAATGGATCAAGTTCAAGTTCAATCAGTTAATTATGAGACACTTTATAAGAGTTTTTATGGTTCTATAATATACAAAAGCAACCCTTATAGTTTCGCCATGTCCGTCAGCGGTTTATACAGGTATATAACGATGTTAAAAGGAAAACTATTTAATAACAAACTTGATATTTTTTACTTTTTTTAATGGATTTGGGTACGTTAACGGGACTTTTCGTGCGCGAGTCCGACTCGCACTTGGTCGGTTTTTACTCGCTCTGTTTTCTTACATTGGACCATACAAATACTAAAATAAAAGAGTTATCAAATATGACTAAGTAGGTACACGTACACCATAATGTACCATACATGACATGCATCCTAGATAAGTATACCTAAATAACAAAATTGTGAGTGACTGGCACACATTTGTATGTATTGCACGTTTAAGCATCGATTTGTGCTCTGCCTACCATTCCATTTCCTTGTCTCGTTCTTTTAATATTAATTAACTCGCACTTGAATACGCATCTACTTCCTGCTCGTCGGCCAGTTACAATCATAACATGATAAGTTATTTGTTTTAAATTTGATATCCCATTAGGTAACTAATTTATTAAATCAAACCTATGTATTTGCTAGATGAGCGGAGTCAACTGTTGGTAAGTACGTTCACTAGTGTTCGCGTTATGATTTGTATGGACATTTGTAGTTCTTGGTAGTTGCCGCTAGGGGCGCTGTACCGGATTCCATTCTAAATTAAAATCATAAACGCGCTCTCGCCCGACGGTTAATTTAAATGTCAAAAAAACTTACACTAAGCGCTCTGTTAACATATTATGTGTTATTACCCCGTGGTGATCTGTGCCGTAGCCAGCATACCCGGCGAGTGTCTCTGGCGTCACATCTTTCTCTTCATTTAAGGTGATGGCGTCGATGGTGACTCCGTCGAAGTCAAATGGCTGGTCAAGTTCCGCTAACATAAAGTCCCATCTCGCTGCAACCTGCGAAAGTTAAATTATTTTTCATAACAGTGCATATAGGTAACAAACGATGTACATTTCGCAGTGCCGGATTAAGCCAGGGCGGGGCCTATACAATTTTTGAAAGTGCCCTTTAAAAAAATATCTAATTGAAATAAAACAAATTTCTTACAAACAATTTTTTCTTGATTTGTAACATTTCATTGTATAAGTAACCGCCAATACAGTTGTTCAGACTCAATCTGTCTTAGATACGATGTATCAACACGCGTCTTCTTGTTTTTGAGGTTTAACAATAAAATAATGGTACGTTATTGTTTATGGCTTTACAAAAATTGTGGGCATTCTTCCAATCACATAACACCTACGAGTATATCTTTCGTGATGACGATGACGAGTAATCGGAATCAGTAACTGTGTAAAAGAAACAGAATTTGCTTTCCGAATAACACAACAACGTGACTTGAGTTTTATTTATCAGTTTGACAGCCAGTTGCACAAACATCTATTAAAATTGACATTAGTTTAAATTACCGATATACATTACCGATTAAAATTTGACATTCATTAGAGCTTAAAGGCGTCATTAAACCTTTAATGGACGTGCGTGCAAGTGACCGTAAAACTTCAGTTTAATTTAAAAATGTGAGTTTAGGCAGAACAGTGGTTTATTTTATTTCTTGCATTTTTTAACACTGAGGGAAAAAAATATTTATTTTTCAAACCATAACGCGGCTCCTAATTGCGCGGGGCCCCAACCGCCCGGGGCTCGTAACGATTGCTACTTTTGCTACGTGGATAATCCGGTACTGACACTTCGTAGTATATTAATTAACTAAAAAAGAGGGAATACGTTCAATTATTAACGAATTAATTCCAGAAACCCATTTTGCGGAAACTTTTGTTATGACACTTAATATTCCTTTTTAAACCACTCTGTATATTGATGAAAGCCGTATTAAAATCCATTGTGTAGTTTAAAAGATATCAATGAACAAACCACCGGGAAGCGACTTTTTATACTATAAAAATAAGGTTGATACAACATCGGCGCCTAATATTTTTTATCATATAAGTCATTTTTTATTTAAGGGTTATAATCAAATTTTATTTAAGGGTCTGCAGGAGAAAAAGCAGCCTTTTGTGAGTTCCTCGCCGATCCTTCGCGGTAAAAGGTCAATCATCCTAGATTTTCGAACCTGTGGCATAGTTTTTTTCACAAGTGCCTAGACTCAATAAATTATTTGATTTGATTTGTTCATGTCAATAATGTTCATGCTATACAGACTAAGTAATAAGGTTATAGTATAGTTAAAATACTTTATATATGTTTGTGAGTTTCTCTGTTGATTGAGAGAGTCAGTTTAAATAATGTTTTCACGTGGTGATGCTTTCTATTTATTATTTGATCGACCTCCACAGTCAAAGAGTATGCTAATTCCTGTGCCAGCGGATTCCACTGTTTATTACTAATTATGTTGGTTGGTCGGCTGCCAACATAGACATTTAAAGGCCAACTTTTTGTACAGATTTAAGGCGGTCAGGTAAGGAGGGCTGGAAGCCGAAGAAGGGACAATTTGGAGGAGAACATCAATTAATGGGTTGAATCCTGGTAATTGGGATTTGAAACTGACATTTATAAACTGAAAACAGGATGGGGGACAACAGATAAGAAAAATATACAGGGAGGGGAAACATTTAGTAAAGAAGAGAGAACTAATAGGCCGGGTAAAATCGAGGCAAGAATGAAGGAAGGGAGAAAGAAGAACTAAGAGGCACAGCCGATTAATAGGATTGGACGACTCTATCGGACCAGATGGTCCGATGGGTCGTCCAATCCTCGGTCGGCCGGAAAGAACTGCGAGGGAGGCCCAGATGCAAGGCCCCTCTACATGCGGGGTTGGAGAGGTCTGGTTTAAAGCTAAAGGTTGCATTAACCCTGCGTTGAAAAAAGGTTTCAGTATGTGATGTTAAATTTACCTGTTTAAGGTCGAAATTTTGGGCGTCCACCCAATAGGGTCCAACCGTGAATAGTGGATGCAAGTGGAGTTTCTTAACTCGCCTGCTTACTCCGGTATTGTCGCCTGAATTGCCGGTGCCCGCTAGCACGTACCGCCCCCCGGTGAACAATGTGCTGAAATTAAACATATTTAATCAGAATATGCTACACCACTTAGAACTCTATTTACCATTTGTCTCTGTTAAAACCTTACTTTTTACCATTTGTGTCGCATGTCTAAGCGAATTGCTGAGAATGAAATAGAATAACCAGCATTGACAGAAACCTTTGTGTTTAAAATGATGGTGTAGATATTATATGCCTTAATATTGTAATTACAGTTCGTAAGAAACAATATCACACTGTCCATAAACAAAAATTCGGAAAATTTCAAGACGTTCTCATTTTTTTTATTATATTCGTGAAGATTATCTGTACATAAGTGCCTACCTTTGTTGATACATAAATTGTCAAAAATAGACGAAATTTCGATTTCGGAAAAATATAGTAGACTATCAGCACGCGTAGCATGACAAGCTCGAGAAACGCTTTGTCTACACTCATTTGTCAGTTTCTCGGGTCGAGAGTGAGTGAGATATTGTATGGGCGCACCCGAGAAAAGTGACATTTGAGGGTAGACAAAACGTTCTCGAGTTCGTCATGCTACGCATGCTGGAGTTATCTTAGTTCATGAATAGTACCTACCTATGTATAACTCGTGGATGATAAGAAAAATATTTACCAATTACAATTAAGTATATTAATTATTCTGCTCTGAAGAACAATTTTGGTTATGCGGGTTACTACGTGTTTGCTTTCCAGCGTCGATATTCTTCTTCGTCATGGCTACATTAGACGAGGACAAAACAAGAAATCGCACTTTGCAATGAGGAAATATTTAAAAAATAAACGAAAGCACTGAAAAAGTACCTCCATTAGATTGCGCCTCTAGCAAAAGTTGATTTTTGCAGGAAACGAATGGACCAAAGACTAATTTCCGTTCCTTTTAACTAACATATTAAAAAACTGAAATTCGAAATGTTCGAAATTTAGATATCAATACCAATACGAAAAAGTACAAATAGAATATGAGTTGTTTATTGAGTTTTGAAAACTAATTTACTTTTAAACATGAAAGAAAACCGGAAATGTTGTCATGGAGAATCCAAGAACGTACCGTAGTGACATCTAGTTTGATTTCGGGAACTAATGTTTTTTTTAATACTTCCTCATTATTTATTACCTAAGATTTGAAAAGAAATAGTTTTGAATTCATTTTAGAAAACAATCAAAATTGGCCATTCCCCGCTTAATGGTAAAAACTACTAGGCGTAAAATAAAAAAATACTGAAAAATTCTAAAGTTAAAAAGTTCTAGGTAAAAAAATACCAAAACAAATTCTAGGTAAGAAGATTATGGTTTTTAAAATTTTATATTTGTGCGGAACCATTTTTATATGAATTATAAGCATTTTCTTGATCTCCGTTCCGCGCTTTACGCCATCGTTTGTTTTCCTTCTTCTATCAAATTAATCATTTTCGTGACTTGGTTTCGTTCTCTTATTGTCAGTGCATATTTGACGAAAGATCCGTCAAGCGACTCATAGAAGTAGTGACGGATCTTTCGTTAAGTGTGCAAGGTTGAATATCGTTCCGCGACTGATAAGACGCGACGCATCTTAACTTTATGCACATTTAATTATAATACTGACGTAATACCTATAAAAACAGTTTATATCCATTGATTTTTCCTGTTTGGTATATTAATGCGAGGAGCAATTGGATATATGCGCACTTAAAATAGGTATTAATGACGATCGCATGACAATAAATAGGTAATCGATAATTCTGCGAACTCTATTGGTAATAAATATAATGAGCGAATCTTAATTCGACACTGTTCCTATTGTGAACAGATCTCATTCATTGTCATTATAATATGCAGTGTACAACAGCCAGCACGTTACGTTAGTATAAAATGTCAGATATCTTCCATCGATTTTAAGCCTTAATCTGTTTACAGTAAACATTTGATAGCTGAATTTTGACATACTGTTATAACATGATGTGTGTACCCATTACAAGTAGGTAACTGTATGTCAATAATGACAATGGTAAATTCAAATAGGCATGTACTTTGTTGTATTATTGGTTGACGAAGACCGCCATTCGTTCTGTATGTGCGATTAAAATAGCCTAGTTTCGTGTGTAGGCAGCAGTATAGAATTGATGTTTGTATGTTAGTTGATCAATAATATTAATCTTAAGTCTCTTAGTTATAGAATTGAGAAGATTAGACTTAGTTAATTTAGTTTAAGTTGTTTGAGATTTACTAATAAGTGCCAAGGCTAAAATTGTGGGAACATTCAATTTTAATTTGGCTTTAAAATCTAATAAATGAATGATATTGTGACATAACTAAAATTACTTTAATTTGTTTGTACGGGAAGAAGACATCTTTTGTGCCATTATGATGTAATTGCCCCAAACCTTTCGTAAACAATGCTCAGAACGGCATTATTTTTGTTTAACCACCCGGGGAGGTCGCAAAATTGCAGTTGCATGACAACTTAATGAGCACTTCTCGTAGGTGAAAGAATTTCGCCGTGAACGCAATTGCTATCACACGTCACATAGTAGTAGCGTGAAGTCTTTCAAAAATCATATTGAAAAGGATTGAGATTGATTTTAAAATTAGATAATTAGGCCCCTGGTTAGGTAGGTAAGGAAAGAGAAGACTCACGCTCGTCGTTATCTATAGTCTAGCGATAAAATAAGAACTGTTGATGGCAAATAATTATAATATTCTTCCTATTACAGTTCTTATTTTATTCAGATTCTTGTTTGTTAAAAATATTTGCTTAAGTAATTACTTTTGCTCGACTATAGATGCGGGTGTTAGAAATTGATCACAGTTCTAACTTAACAACTTCAAACAAATATTTACACTCCAACGAGAAAAAATCATAGACCAGTTATGTAAATCGAATAAATTGAGAAGTTCGATCCCAGAAATTATTAACTGTTTTACAATTGGCTTTTTTCAAGTGAAAGAATTCTTATAAAGAAACAAAGGAAATCTACAATATTATATATACACATAACACTAACTCGTTTGAAAAACCGTTCAACTCTTCTAAGCGTGAAGAAATATAACGATGCTGCTACATTCCTATTGACTAACAATAGCCGCAAAACAATTGTTCTAAAAACATTTTAACCTTCAATAATATCACAGAGACATTAGGAAAATAAGTCAAACAGTGACTGTCCGTGACCGGCATCCATTTTGTAGTGTGATTGAATTTGAATTCATAAATATTCGAATTACCTACGTATGTAAAAACAATTTTTATCTTGGTAGGCATTTCGGATGGCCTTGCAAATGGAACATATATGAATCAAGGGTTATCGGTACTGAAACTGCCGATTGAGTCATTTTATTTCGTCAATATAGTCAATGCCGTTACAATGGTATATTGATATTTATCTAAAAGAAAAATGCTTAATAAATTCACCAGATCTCCAGTCCAAAACCTTTCGTAATCCGGCCAACTGCTCTAACGAATAGAGCTACTCGGAACCTAACGCACTGATGATTTTCTCAAGCAGATTGTTACTTTTGGTACGCTACTAGTGAGTGTACCTACTTTGTCATTGTTCAGGCAATTTATTTGAACAGACGCTTATACAAACATTTTTTCAAATTTAGATTAAGATAAAAATGTGTTCTAATAATTATTATTATTATTATTAATCAATTTCGCATTCGCAACGTCATATTGTTGTTTACTTTTTTGGGTTTTGATGAATTTTTAAGTATTTTCGTATTTTTCGTTCATATGTCAAGTGAAATTAATTTCAGGTAACTTTACTACCGCGTCGTAACTTTAAAATACAACTTTATGAGTAGGTATAAAATAAAAATTATAAAATGACATTTGTACGAAGTTATGGAACTTGCATCAAAATTATAATGAATATGAAAGTTGATAATTGTAAAATGTGGCAAGTTCGTTTCCAAGTCGAAGCAATATTAAAATTATAATTTTAAAATCTATCACATTTTTTTTCAATTTGATATTTGAAAGTTATCGTGATTCGTTCCAAAAGGTATTGCGACATTAAATGTAACATAATTACATAAATCGTTATACTTTGAAAAGGACTGCGGTAGATTTTGAAGTTTAGACATTTAGTTCATGAATTTATATTTTCGAAGATAACCCCTACAAACAAATCTGAACCTTCACATCTTTATAATAAATATCAGTATAGTATTTCATAAATGGAATGAAATTTATCCAAAAAAGCTGCAATGCAATGATCAAATGCACCAAGTAAATTATATTTTCGATTTCTTCATTGGAATAATAAATAACTCTCCGTCACGAAATCAAATGACATGTTTTTTATAACAATAATTGTATCCATTATCACTTCAACCGTTACCGTTACAATTTTCAGTTAAAATTGAATTGCAAAATTAGTTGTTCACTAACGTATTCAAACCGGAATTGTTTTTATAGAAACGTCCTTGATTTTGGTGTAACAAATAAAGTTTGTGTATTACGAGTATTTGATATGCTGATGCTGTGCCATAGAACTTATGTCATTTGTTACAATTGAGTAACAATTAGTATTTTTATTTATTTAAAACTAGCTTTATTGCGTTTTCGCTAGCATAAATTATGTTTTATGTCACCCCCATATGATCTGAAAGAATTTTTGAAATTGATTCAGTAGCTCTGGAGCTTCTTTAGAATATTAGTGGTAGATGAAAAAACTATATGATCAGTGTTTAGTTGCGTTCGGATACACTGTGTATAGTCAAACTGTAATATGAATAGTATGAAGTTTTAAATAGATCATTTTAAATATTCGATAAATAGGTAAATACGGCTGTACGTCACATTTAGTTACATGTCAAACCGCAATTGATTTTCAATGCATTAAAGTTTAAAATCGAGTGAAGAAATTTTACAGCTCATATAACCTTACGTTCTCTTAACCGACAATGACGAAATAAAATTAATTGTTTTGCATCAGGATAAATGAAAGATACGGAAAACCCAGAAGATATATATTGTCGCTACGTATTTACGTCGTGTATTGTAGTAAACAAAGATCATGACTCACATCTTTTTAAACGGTTAAAGCTTAATAACTTGCCCTGTTTATTTGTTTTTATGAGAGAACAAAGAAAATCCTTCTAAGGGAAAGTTTGAGTTAATTTTATCTTCATATTTGAAGAATGTTGTATACAATAATTGGTAGAGTAAAATTTTCAGAAAAGTTTGTTCAGTACTCATGTTTTTATTCAGTATGGGGTTAAGCACAGCTTGGGGTAGCTCTCGATGAGTTACCCTAAGTTATGATAAGGTGAAGGTTCAATATCCCACCGCTTAAGAAATGATGCACCTAACAAAATCTTTGTCACTCGTTGCTCAAACAGTGACGGTCTGCCAGTTTTTAATCAAGCGAGATGGAAACCAATAGGTAAACCCCTTCGTTTGTCAATATCAAATGGTCTTTATTCAAATTTTTTACTTACCACCCGTCCAGTAGTGTTATTCTATTATTATGAACACATCCTCGAATTTTTTATTACCTTTTCAAGTAGGTTTTATATGATTGATCCTCTATGCTGTGACAAAACTGTGTTCGACATAAAATTCGAGGCTGTTTATATATTATAGGCCGTACTGACTCACGTCGAAAAGCCTCGCCGTCCCTTCTTGGCGAGAAGAAATATAAAGAAAATAAGACGAGAAATATATCACATTTACGAGTCTCGGGTGTTCTCGGCGTGAGTCTGTCCGGTCTATTAGAATAGGACTGCCGGACGAGTGGTAAGTAAAAAATGTTGGACGATTCAAAGACTATAAGTTTCATTGAATAAAGATCATTTTGATGTTGACAAGTGAAGGAGGGTGTCGAGCAAAAAATTATAAATATGCTATAGATGTAAATAGGTAGTAAAGTGATATTTACCAGTGTCCAGCGGTGAGTACCCATTTGGGGCTGATAATGGACCCACCGCAGGTGCCTCCGAAGAGTACCGCGTGAGGAAATCTCTGGTTGACAGTTTTAGATACATTCCGGAACAATGGAATCTGCTTGGATTCCTCTTCACTAAATGGTATAGTGTTTGCTGAGTCGGAGCTCGAATCTGGAAACACGATGTGACTTGAACTAACTCCAAGGTTTCCGTTTTCGAGTGGGACTTGTACAAGTTTATGTTGATCAGCATTGGACTGACCTACGACATTAGCTTCGGGGGCTAATTCCGAAACAATATTCCTAGTCTTTGAGGTCTTCGAAGTATCTGATTGGTCTTCGCTTATTCCAGTATCTATGTCATGTTTGATAATTGTAGATGTATCGCCATTTGCGAAATCTGGAAAAATAGGATTTATGCTAATATATGTATATCGATCATGGGGCCTCTTTGAATACGATGAGTGTTATGGTGATTGAAATGATTTACCTATAAAATGATTTATAAATAAAAAGTCATTTGTATTGATAAAAGGAAGTTACCTGAATTGTAAAATAATTTATTGCCTATAAGTAACTTGTCCACTAAACAGTTCTGCTCTTATAGTATCTACATGTCGCAAGACAATTAATTATTTAATTAACCGCACGCGAGACAGTACAGAGTATGTTCCTTCTTTAGTTGACTTGAGGCATTTTATATCTATATTATAGGTTAAACATTTGTAGGGACCGAGGGTTTTAAAAACAGGTGAGATTAAACAACCCCGGTATTTCGAAATTTAAAAACGTTAATTATTACATTACAAGTTATATAAGATCTCTCGTATCTTTGTATGGTTGTGGTAGATTGATAACCTCTGAATGTAGAAGTTACTCCTTTATCAATTGACATAGTTTTTATATACAAAAACATTAATTCATAAAATTACTCTTTGGATATTTATGATAATAATGTATATTATGTTATTATTTATTTAAAACGTTATTTTCATGTGACCACTGTATGTATTATTTATGGAAAAATGGCTTAAAACACTTGGAAGAACTTAGTTTCATAAGACAAAATTATGAGTTATACAATAAAATCTTATTTTGGGCTTCATACGAGTATAATAAACCAAGGTAAGTTACCTTGTTAAAAACGTCATCTGATTAGATAAGTCATGAACAAAATAATTATATTAATTGACCAATATTGTAGTTGTAGTAGTAATATTAGCTTCTGCGGGTAGTTTTAAGTGTTCGATAATGATACAACGATTAGTAGTGTAATGGCCTAAGCATCAAGAGAAAAGTATTATTTTAATCATCGACTACTAAAGTAAATTTCCATGAAATTTTTTGTCGTCAAACTCATTTAAAAACCAGACTATTGTATAATTGGAATGTACAGTATGAATAATTTAGATAACGGGTTACATTTTAATAAAATGCTATCAAAAGGTGAATTAATGTACAGACAACAGCACGTCAATTGATCCACCTTATTTTAAACTTTAATTTATCGTAAGTAGAGTACAAAATCGATTGAAATTTGAACCTTTGTTGTGTTCTGATGAGCTGCTATGTGTATATGAAACGAGTTTTTATTTACATCAGTCATTACTGTTATTATGCTATATAGATAGAGATAGTTTATCGTACATATAATAGTTAATTACCTTAATTGACATTTTTAAATAAAAACAGTTTGTATGTACATAAAACGAATGTTTTGAGTATAGTTTTTATTTGTGGTCTGGGACGTCAAACAGTTATACATTGTTGTTAGCTTTGTTAATCTATGTTAATGAACTAAAGACTAATGTATAATTTACACAGATATCACCGCATTAGATGGAAAATGTTACGACTAACACAAAACACTGACCGGTTTCACAGTTGATCACATTGTATTTCCTTTTTTTTATTTAACGACTGCTCAAAAATTTTTAAAAACCATTTATCATATTTAAAACTTGTCTAAAACACTACATTTCATAAAAAAAAAAAAAAACATTTTACACCACCTTATATTAAATGAAGCTTGTATTTGTACCAAAAATATCGATTTGTCTTATATTTTGTGTTTATATCTACCTTGATGATTTGCATATGTTAAGATTCCTTTTGTTTAAGTTTCGAGTTATGAGATTACTTTAATATGGGTCACTTTGATATTTACAGTAAACGTTTACTCACTTGTTTTAATTGCACCATTGGATGAGTCGGGTCTCGCGAATACGCATGCGACTATCGCGACAAGCGCTAGCACAGTTAACTGTTCTTTAGCAGGCATGGCGCTTATACTTACGTGGCTGACACGCGCGATCGACTATATAAGACAGGTTAGCGAACACGCAGGCTTCGTGCTGTGGCTTTGTCTGCGGTATTCTCTGGACGATGACGTCACACAAAAGGGATTCTTTTAACTTTAACGCACTCGTAAATGTATAGTCTGCTGAATAAAGTTAAAAGTATGAAATTTCAGGTTTTATGACCAAAGTTTCGATACTTTCTGAAGTTACCAAGTATATTATATTTCATTATTTCTACATCATTTAACTGTTGTTTTTAAGGCTTTAGTTCTGAAATATAATAAGATGGCTTCTTTTAATTTTAATTAGAAAAGGTACTCCAATAAAAAATCTGTGTGTGAATTTATGTTTTTAATTTATTTTAAAGCATAAATTCGCAAACAGAACCCGTTCATATCAAGAGATTTGAATACGTCACGGCCTGGTTTTTGCTTTAGATGTAAGGAAAATCTGATAAAATCCTCACGATTAGTTCCTCGTACTTTATGAGTAGGTAGTTGATTCTTCCTTATTTTTCTGTTATCTCGTTGAAGCATTCTTCTGAATAAGTAAGACAAAAAATAAAAAAAAATGTTATTTTGTTATATGTACCGTGTGAACACATATGTATAAAAATAAGCAAATATCGATTATTTTCATAATAGAAAAAGGCAGTCTAATTTTATTTATTTGTATTGATGTTTATTTATTTAAATGTTATTAAAATAATAAGTTTATCTAAAAATCTATGGTTGGTTTACATTAAATTTATATACATTTCGAGTTTGGATTTTGAGGCTATGTGTACGAGTGATTACGACGGTCACAATTGTCGGCACCTATCCCTATAAACAATGTTTAAAAAGAGACCAGGGGTGCGACCGCCTTACTCATGGACGTAGCCGTAGTCGTAGCTATAACTTACGCTTTATAGGTTTTACACATGAATCTGTTGATATTGTTTTAAAATTAATCATTTATTATAATTTACATATTTAATCAATGCTTTTAGTTGTTTTTGTTTGCTGAATTATTAAAGTTAAACGAAATTTACAAAATGTCGAATTGATACAAACAATGCTATTTCGAAAAGAAAAATAAACCAAAATGTTTGATAAAATATATAAATTAAAAAAATCAATTAATTTTAAAAGAATATCAACAGATTAATAAGAAATATCGATAAAGCGTAGGTTATAGTCTAGTCCTGTTGATGTCAGTGACCTGCATCCAATAAGTATTTTGTCCTGCCTATCCAAGATCGTTGAGAGGGTAGTTAGCACTCAGGTGGTAAAGTTTCTTGAATTGAACTGTTTGCTCCCTCAGGTTCAGTCCGGCTTCCGTAAGAAACGTAGCACATCTACTGCACTTCTTAGTGTAGTGGACGATATTTTGTCGGGCCAGGATAGAGGTATGGGCACTCTTCTGGTACTTCTCGACTACTCGCGCGCTTTCGACTGTTTGCATATACCTCTACTTCTTTCTAAATTGTCCTATTATGGTTTTGACCCTGCTGCTGGTCGCTGGTTTTATAACTATCTCCTTAATCGTAAGCAAATAGTTGAGGTAAGAAACGTGGATGGCTCGGTCTCTTTCTCTGAATGTCGTGCTCTATGTAGAGGCGTTCCTCAGGGATCTATACTTGGCCCAATTTTATTTATTATTTATTGCGCGGATATCACTGAAAGCATAAAAAACTGTCAGTATCACATATGCTGATGATGTCCAGTTGTACTTGAGTTTCCTGCCTTGTGACACTGTTAGTGCAGTGGATAGATTGAATGATGATCCGAAGAATTTATGTCAATGGTCACATAAAAATATTCTAGTGTTAAATCCTTATAAAACAAAATTTATGATCTTGCGTTCACGGAAGAAAGTTTCTCATATTGTGGATTTTAAACCTCAAATTTTGATAAACAATCAGACAATTGAGACGGTCTCTGAAGCAAGAAATCTTGGGGTTATTTTTGATTCTCACCTACGTTTTGAAAAGTACGCACTGGAGGCTGTCAGAGGCTGATTTTATCGCCTGAAAATTCATTATAAATTTCGTCCTTTCCTCAGTGAAGACCTCAGAGTTGGCTTGTGTGAATCATTGGTCCTAGCAAAATTAAATTATGCAGATAAAGTTATTGGGCCTTGTCTGCTGGCAAAAATAAAGCACCTCTTACAACGGGTACAAAACGCATGTGCACGCTTTTGTTTCCCTGTTCCTCCAAGAGCTCATATAACACCTTATTTAAGTAGCTCCAATTTAATGATGATGAATGCCCGTAGAAAACTGCATTTTACCACCTTGTTATTTGATATTATACATACTAAAATACTCTAGAATTACCTGGGCTAAGGATAGAAATAAAAATAGTACCAGAGCTTCCTCTTATATGATACAGACGCCGAAACATCATTCTACTTTCCGGGGTTTTTTTAAATACTCAGCTTCAAAGTGCTGGAATAACTTGCCGCCTCCTATTCGTACGCAAAAAACAAAGCACACTTTCAGCAAAAAGTTAAAGGCATATTTATTACAGTCACAGATGCAGTAAGGTTTCAGTATGATGTTTTTATTTACTGCTTAGGGTTGATTTGGAGAAGTTTTCCTTTGTGGCCATATGTAAATTCGGACGGTCATAAACTGTTTTTTTTTATTGAATAGAAGCGACATCCTAGTAAATCATAATGTATAAAATTTCAACTGCCACGACGGCAATAAAATGTGTGTACGTGTTTGAACGGAGTAACTGTATACGTGTCATAAGTTAATTTGACATAATAATTATGTACACAGAATCAATTCCACTCAGCCTTAACATTAGTGAAGTCATATACGTTTTCTTTTTTTCTTTTTTTTTATTTATGATTATTGTGTGTTATTATCAATTACGGATATTATATTTATATAGATATTGTGGTCCGTGGTGTCATTGCTGGTCTCTGCAGAATATCAATGCAGCGGGTCCTGCCTGCTGCTTATACTCAGCTGAGTCCAGCGTTGGCATCACATAGCATTCGCAGCAAACTGTTTTTAAAAATATTTTATATTCAGCCCTATTTAATGTTGTTGTGTATGTTATGTGGTTTTAACAATTAACGAATTTCTTTCTTTCTTTCTATAGCTACGATTACGGCTACGTCCATGAGTTAGGCGGTCGCGCCCCAGGTGTACCAAGACCGAAGATCGTAGAAAAGTTAATTAGTTTTCTATTAGACGATCATTTGATATGGTAACAAGATCACACCTGTTGGACTTATTGCTACTTCGAAGCCACAGAATCCACTCCACTTGGCTCCTCGACCACTGCCTTATTAGGAGTATAGTGCCACTCACGTGCTTGCAACGACCACGTGTTGCACGTAGTCGCCATGTGTGGCATTACAAGTCGGCAGACTGGGATGGGTTGCGGTCCTTTTTTGCGTCCTACCCTTGGAATTGGAAACGGTTACCTATCTTAATTTCGAAACTTTAATGTTCGAATTTCAAAACTTCGAAAACGGTATAACGAAGTTTTGAATACCAGATATGTTTTTTGACATAATATTCTATGTAATAAATTTATTTTACACATGTTTCATTTTCCAGAAAAATTAAAAGACGATTTTCAAAAGCTGTTTTATTCTTTTTACAGATGTATTACTTTAATATTTTTTTATTCTAGATGTATGAAATATCGAAGTAATCCTATTTTTACTAACGCACTTATTTATTTTTCAACATTATTTATTGACAAAAAAAAAAACAAGTTTTTATGTAGGTATCGTCTGATTTATTTTTATAGAAAAAATAAATTCAAATTAAAGTTTAAGACATAGGTTTATTCAGTGCTTAATTTTATGCAACAGCAGTGAATCGCTACAAAACCGTCTTCACGTAGTCTTGTCTGCCCTACCCCTAGAGTGCAATTTAAGCCCGCGTAGGCGCGGAGGGGCTAGGCGGCCCGCGAGTTGAGGAGCAGGTTCTTTACGCTCGCCGCTGCAGCTGAGGCTGGCTGCGGCCAATAAGCCGAAGCTGCGGTGTGTGGTGTCACGAAAACTCACGTGGGACCGCCGGAGCCTCGCAGCGCCGGAGCCGTGACAGAAACAATGAATGTTGTATTCTTGAATGCCTGCTTGCATGCCTGCTTGCATGCCTGCTTGCATGCTTGCTTGCGTGCTTGCTTGTATGCTTGCTTGAATGCTTGCTTGCATGCTGCATGTCTGCCTGGTTGCTGCATTCCTGCTTGCATGATTAACGTCTGCTTGAATGATGCATGCATGTTTCAACTGAACCATATCACTTATCAAGTTATTGAAGATTATAATAAAAATACTTATAATAATAAGAATTTGAAGATTATTACCTGTAAAAGTGTCCAGTAGTTTATAGAAATAAACAGGTATTTCATCTGGAGGCAGAAAGCTAAGTGCCAATAAACATTTAACATCCATTTTAAAAACAATTTTCTTGAAAGTAAATCGTCTAAAATATGTATATTTATCAAAGGTTGAGTAAGATTTAAAAACGTATTGATTTAAAAAATATGTATATTTGAAAATCGGATTATCAGCTATATGTCAATTGTTTTTTCGGTGAAATGAAAATATGGAAAACAAAAATGTGGTAAAACGTTTTCGGTTTAATGAAATTCGCACTGAAAAAAATCTATATTAAAATAGGTAACCCTTGGAAACATATCTGCTTTACGCCGGATGATTCCAACAACGCCGCCGAGTCTGTTGCTGATGTGGTGCTTCAGGGTATAGAAACTTCCATTCCATCCTTGGTTGTCCCTATTGGTGGCAGATTCCAACCTTGGTTTGGTCAGTCCTCGAGAAAGGCTTCTCGTCGACTGGGGTAAACATACCAAGCCTGGGCAAATGCAGTTTTGTCGCGGTAAGTAAATACCAGCGTCCTGAAAAAGCAATACAACTTTGCCTCCAGATATTTACAAAAGAGATGAGAATTGGCGAGAAGCTTGAACGTCTTCCTTCGGGGACGCGTGCTTTCGTCTCTTGACAAATA